CTTAACAAGCCTTGCATTTAAACTGTATTTAAAACGTGTTTTATGCTTCAGATATTAAAAAACTGTGATATCTTCCCTAAACGTAACAAAGTCTCTTTAGTTAACGTTTGTTGTTTGTTTATGTGGAAGCTCAGTGGAAGCCAACTCAGGAGTTTAGCAGCTGTGCAACATTTTCCAGCTCCTCCTGAAGCTTTTCCAGACTGAGGAGGGACAAGTCAGGACCTCAGGTATCGTTTACCTGTTGGTAAACTCATAATCAGAGGTCACAGAGAGGCATGAAATTATTTTTACGTTGTTAGATGTGATTGTGATTGTGAGCCTTTCTCAGACACCGGGTCTTAGAAATGTGTTTTGCTGGTGTTCAGGTGTTTGATGGCGAGCGATGGAGGCAGTCTGCGGTGCTGTCTCTGATGGGCGGAGCCTGAGAAGATGGCGCAGAGTGAAGCAGCTGTTGTTGGATGGAAAGTTATCCTGACGCTGAGAACAACAACTGCTGCTCCGCCGTCTGCCAGAGAGACGACGACACGCTAAAAATACACACAGGGCCGCATTCCACACATGAACCAGCGCACGCGCACTTGTGTGTGTGTGTGATAATGTACAGGCTGTACAGACCTGGCTGCACCTCCTAACATAAACTCGAGCAGAGCTGCTCTATAAATAGTCTTCAGTTCTTTGTGGTGCAGATTACAGTTCGGCGTGAGAAAATTCAAACAACCTGAGTGACAACTTACCCACAATCCACCTCTGACCCACAGACATGTGAAAAACTAAGACAAAAGTCATTTAATAACTAGTGACTGATAGCTGCAGCCTATCACCTTACAACTCTATGTAAATCCCTCCTGAAACGAGGGCAGAAATGGCTCCACGCGGGTAGAAGAGAGGTAAAAGTCAACACAGTGGGGGCTAAATATAGATCACGGTCATAGACTGCATATAAATGGATTGATGTTGTCACCATGATGCCACCCACTGTTTAGGGGCTGTTCATTTTGAAGACTCGACTTAGCATTTTGACTGCTGCCTCACCTACAGACTGTATGGGAGCATCAAACAGACACACATACCTGATGATTTAACGCTCAGTAGAATCTAAATAAAGTCCCAAAACTGGAGCTCAGACTGCTTTGATGGTCTCTTAGTTTAATTAATCTCACAGCAGCCAGATTATTGGTCAGATAATTCCATTAAAAAAGGCTCCAACAGCACAAACACGGTCCAGAGCTCCAGGTCAGGGACTCCAATTAGCTGAGGTGAAGACTAGCAGACAGCTAGCAGCTACAGCTGCCTGTCAGTCAAAGAGGCTGTCAGAAAGAAAACATTCACACCTGTACAGGTGTTATAAAGGTTTAAATTATCCATAGAGACCAGAACAGTTGTTCTATCAGGCTGTAAACAGGTGTATGTCTGCTGTGAAGTCAGATATTTTAACATGGGAGTCTGTGGGGACTGACTCACTGCTGGAGCCCCTGCTGGACGTTAGAGGAACTGCAGCTGTTGGTGCCTCAGCTTCATTTTCTTTTACCCTGCAGCTTGATGGCAGGTCTGAGTGTTACTGGTCAGGGCTCCTCTCAGCCTCCAGGTTGTAACTTGGTTCTCTCGTTTGGTGGATGTAAACAGCAGATAGAAAATAGTTCCTACATGAAAGTAAGAGATTTCGGTGTATTTTAACCAAGAGATGGTTTTTATAGAGAGACATTACTGGTTTGATTAGCGTAACTTTCAGCTGATGGCAGATGCTTGTCTAGCAGACACTGAGCAGTTTACACCGACATGGATAAACAGCAGTGTGCTCCAGAGGAAAAATATCTACATCAGACTTCAGGACAAACACAAAACTATGTAAGATGTCCTCCTTCTTTTTGTTGTTGGAGGCTTCTGAGAACTTCTTAAAGCTTTAATTAGAGCTGTTTTGTTCTGAAGGCAGCGTTCAGATCACACTGCTCGACGTGACTCGGCTCTCCTCAGGCCGCTGGTCGGATGATCGGATTTTTCCAAATAAACACAAACTGCGGACGCACACAAGAAAGATTTGATCTCCAACAACCGGTCACTTCACAGTTTACAGGCTTATATCAGCTTCTGCTGCCTGGGGTTTTTACAAATAGACTACACTTGTGATACAAAGTAGTTTTGATTTTAAAGATGAATCCTCATAAACCAACAAAGACGCTTTTATCCTCCACAAACACAGATCTCACTGTTTTACCTTATAAATGTTACCTGAAGATCAAAGGCTGCAGGATTATCTTTGAATTATAAAACGTACATTTTTTTTCGTAGGACAGCAGAGTTTAATGAATGTATCGATCTCAGTATAAACCTCATGTCACAGATCTAATGCTGTTACACTTCTGGCTTTCATGACAGACGAGTCAGGCTGAAAACCAGCAGAGGGGTTTTACCCCTGCCTCCATAGACACTTATGCTTTAGGAGCCCCCACCCCTCTACACCCGATGGCAGCTGTGCTGGTGCGGTCCATGTTTTTTTATAGGTAGTAAGTGGAAATATCAGCCTGCGCCTGGATCACATTAACGGCCTGACTCGCTGGTTTAATTAACCGCACATTAACTGTAGAGATCTCAGCAGGAGCAGAGTTATGCTGGTTTTAATGTTTAAAGATGCTGCAGAAGCAAATAAAAGCACGGAAATAATCAAGATGTCACCTGAAGCTTCTTTTTAGCTTCTGATAAACCTGAATGCGTTTTTGTGCAAAAGGACTGTGGGTTTCATGTCCACTTGTCCCTGAGGAACAATTACAGCAAAGAAAAAAAAAAATGTTTCAGTGCTCATACTGAAGACACCTCAAATGTGGTAGAAATTTTGAACATTTTTACTTTTTAAGAACTGCTTATTTTGAAATCCTCCATATCGTTAGCTTCATAGCATAAGTGCCTAAGTCATTTTTTTGTGTTTTCGGAAAACAAGACAAAACTAATTTTCTAAATATCACATGCATATTTTTAATTGATATTTTCAATTTGACCAAAAAATGACTTAGGCACTTATGCTATGAAGCTAACGATATTATTTCATTTATGTTTTTTAGAGGTGAGGCTGCGATGGTTTGAACTTGTGCCGAGGAGGCAGCATGGACATGTTGGACAAAGGATGATGAAGATCAGAGATGGGCTGTAACGCGTTACTGTAATCCGATTACTTTTTTCAAGTAACGAGTAAAGTAAGGGATTACTATTGCAAAAACGGTAATTAGATTACCGTTACTTTCCCGTAGGAACACTGCGTTACTGCGTTACTAAAACCGTGATTTTTGCGAGAATGTCTCACGACAGTGACGTAAGCGAGTGCGCCGTTAGTGACAACAGCTGTGTGCAGATCAACAATGGATCATATATCGAGTGGAGAGAGTATGAGCGTGCAGCGTTTAAAGCGTGGAAGTACTGACCTTACTTTGAGTTTGATTCCATAAAAAGTGACAAAAACATTAGTGTCCGTTGTGCGTGGGAAGAAAACTTCTTTTTACAGCGAAAAAAACCCCTAAACTTCCAAGCAAGCACCGAGTGCGCTACAACGTAATGGCCGCTGCGGCACACCTGCACCAGGGTAAACCTCCGCCTACCCAACTCCTGCTTTACAGGTGAAAATAGAGCAAAAGGACCGCTAGAGTCTTTGACTTTATTTTTTTCTGCTGTGTTTTACTTGCATCTATTTGAAAGACTGAGTGTAAACACAAAAAAAAAATTTTATGTGCAGAAAATAGGTTTAAATATTAAACAAATTTCTTCCAGTCAGAGAATGTTGCATATAATTAAATTTTTGCTTGATGCATAAAGTTAAAAGATTAAAACAAAACAAGTTTTAAAAAGAGACTTTTCCATTTGATTACATTTTGTATGATGGGTTATGCAGAAAAAGTAGAATTGGGCTGAAAGATCTATCACTTTATCACCTATTCAGGTTGTAAATCGTGTTTTTAAAAAGTAACTAAGTAATTACTTTTGAAAATAAGTAATCAGTAAAGTAACGGGATTACTTTTTTGGGGAAGTAATCAGTAATTAGTTAGTGATTACTTTTTTCAAGTAACTTGACCAACACTAATGAAGATGGAGCTCCCAGGCAGGAGGAAAAGGGGAAGACCTCAGAGAAGATTCATGGATGTAGTGAAGGAGGACCAGCAGAGGGGCTGGTTTCTATTTTAATCATCTCAGGACGCCTCAGCTTTACCTGCTGTTAGGCTCAACAAAAGTCCATCGTATTAATTTAAGGTTAAAAATAAGCACTATAGATTTGAGGTATGAAAAGAGTTTTATAGTGAATTTAGAACTTGTTTTTAAACAAATTAAAAAAATTATTTGTATGTTGATTGACTTAAAATCTGTTTTTCTCAAAATGATCAAGTTATTCTTCATCTTCAGTGTTTATTACCCAGAGCCTCTATAAATGAAATGCTGCCACCTTGTGGCCAAAAACAGGAACGTGAGGACTGAAATGTGCTTTATAAAAAGATCCATTCAAAGATCATATTTAATAACATGAAGTTAAAAAGGGCCAGTATGTGGGGGTGGGGGTGGAGCATTAGAAGAAAAAGAAAAAAAACTTTATGAATATTTAGCAAAACAGTTAATTGTTATTTATTGTCAAAAGCATTGTTTCAGTTTGCTGGCTTTTGTTTGCCTTGCACTAAAATTCTGTTGTTAAATCAGTTCAACCATAAATGGAAATTGTAGGAGAGATAAGAGGTTCCTCTTTCTGTAAACACAGCGTTTCCTCCTTGGTGTGCTGTGTAAATATGACTGAAGATGTCCTGAAAGCACATTTATTAATTATAGATGCAAAACGAAAGAGTTTAAGTTTTAAATATTGACTACCCCCTTACATCCACTATAACAAGAACAGGGCTTTAGCATGCAGCGCTTTAAATTGTAGTTAAGTATTTTTACACCGTGGTGTCTGTCGTTTGAAATGAAGAAACTTTGAGGTCAAAGTCGGGGTGTGGTGCCCTCTGCTGGTGATCAACAGAAACTGACAGATGCAGATACATCATCTCTCTTTATTCCCTACTTTCAGGTTGATAACAGAATATTTAACGAACTGTATGAGAAATACAGAGATGAAGATCAGAGTAGAAGACAACCTCTCCTCCCTTTTGTCACTTCTTATCCTCCTCGGTCAAAACAGCCCGAAGATGGAGCAAAGTTCCTGCAGCAGGTCCATGTTCAGGTAAACTCGGCAGATTGTGAGGAAAATGCCAACAGCGGAGAACCCGATGAGAATCCAGAGAATCTGAGCGCAGAAGTAAAGTGGAGCCAGACTGAAAGAGACCAGAGGCGTGAAGTGTTGAGTCAGTTTACCTGTTACACACCTGCACAGGCAGAACTACTCACAGTAAGTCATTTACAGGAGGCAGAAAGCTCTGTTCCACCTGGTTGAATGAACATTTTAGATTTTAACTACTGACTATTTTCTAAAAGTGTTAGCATTTTGACCACAGCCAAAAGAGGCCACATACAGATACTACAGGAATCAGCCTGTAAACATTTTCATTTCTTGCTGTAAAGTTAGACATTTTTACATGAGTCTAAGCGCGAGCCTCTAGTGGACATTAGAGGAAGTGCAGAATTTAGTTTAAAAAATACAAGCTTTGAAAAAACCAACATGACGAGGCATTCAGGGGACAGTCTGGATCTAAAAAAATAAATAAATAAAAAAAATAAATAAATAAAAAAATCGCAGTCAAAATAAATAACCTTAGCTTGGTGATTTTGTACTCTTGTCCTGTTTGCATAGCTCAAAATTTTGATAGTTGCCATTTGTCAGACTGATATATAATTTCCCTAGAGATTAATATAGTATGCCGATTCTGATGATGTCACACAGTTGGACATTTTTAACTCAGCGTTTAACTTCACTGTGAACATTTAAAATTCAATAACCCTGAGAGATCCCATCCTTCAGAGGGTATGAAAGCCAGAGCAGGAACTTTCCATAAAGTAAAACTCACATTTCATATGGCAGTTCCTGCAGTGCAAACGTTAGCATCAGTATAAGAATGATTTTAAACAGCGAGTGTATTTATTGTAATTGTAGGGGTTCTCATAGCTCTCACCGTCCCTGTGCAGACTCAGAATATCCTCTAAAGTAATTGAACCGTCCATATAAATAAAGCAAACCGCAGACTGAAGACAGACCTGAAACACACAGACACACCTTTAAATGTTTATACCTTTTCAGGTCGTAAAGTGTACGTGTTAATGCTGCAGCAGCCTCTGTGGCTTCTGTCGCCTCACCTTGGCTGAAGAATACTCCAGATAGCCACAGCACGGTGATGAAGATGGGGAAGTACTCTGAGCAGTTTGCTCTAAACACAAAGGACAACAAAACTAACCGAAACTAAGTGGTAAAACACTACACACCACAGCCTCCAGGGGGCACCAGAGGCATCCCTTTCATTCTTACCAATTTATCAGGTAAAATTTCGTCCCTCCAAAATTGAAGGGTCCCCACAGGATTTTAGTAATACAAGTACATGCATAGACAAACAGACACAAAGGGGCTCACTGAGCTCTGAAGACCCTCTCAAATTCTGGTGGTCCAGTGGTGGCAGGTGGAGACACTGAATACTTCCTCCTGGCATAAATTACCTGGAGAGAGAAATAGGCTAAAAACATAAAGAACACATTTTAGTGCACATTACACTTTAATTACATGAACATTGTTATTTTTTTCAAATGTCAAATAAAAGATGGCTTCATGAGCTGCCCTTCACACAGCTTCTGCTACACAGACCAAAGTACACACCACGCTGCTCATCTATGCAAATTTTATTTATAAAAGCTAAAAATTATATATAAAGTGGAAGCACGAATGCAGTGAGGGCTGTGAACGCCAGGTGTCACATGTACAGATAGTGTTAAAAATACTCTGTTAAAGTACTGACTCAACTCCTTAACTCAAAGTAAAGAGTAGCGACTCTAAAATGTAGTCTTGAAAGTAGCTCTTTGGAGGACGTTTCTACCAGCTATGTGTGTGCAGAGCTAACTCAACCTTGTGCTATATTAATGTAATAAAATATTAGATTAACAAAAGTGGCCTACATCTGAATTCTCAGAAATATTCAACTTGAATCAGATCAGCAGAACATGAGCAGAGAAAGAGGAAAATTTAAAAACAAAAAAATATTTTCCCTTGCCTACATTGTAGAGGGTGACTTTGGCCCTAAACAGAAAGTGTACAGTCAGGGGTTAAAGTGGATTCAGCAGGTTAAGGAACCCTAAAAATTGGACACACCAATCTGTAATGGCTCAGCGTGGGGGGGGGGAATCCTAATTCACAATTTCTATTGAGAGCTGCAGTAGATTTTCTTAATGTACAAGCTGTGATCAGCTGTTTTAAATCCATCACAGTACAGCAAAGTAACCCATTTAACCCCTGCACTAACCTGCAGATGATTTTCATGCAGCTTTTAAATAACAGTCAGTAAAACATAATGTCACATGTACACACCCAATATGCGATTTAAAAACACGATGACTATGCGTATATGCTTTAAATTGCCAGTGAATCAAATACCACTGAGCAGTCTTTAATTTAAGCCCTCTCCTTCCTCTTCTGTCCTTCTTATCCTTCTCCATCTCTGCGTTATTCTCTCCCTGTGAAATAAGCAGCTGGCCTTTAGCTGCCAACACACTGACAGTGCAGGGTTACCTCCATGCTAAGTACCTTATGGACATCTGCAGTCGGCTAACTGCAGCCCCTGATTTTGCACTCGCTCATCTCTACTGCATGACTTTTTAATTTTGGGGGAAAAAAAAAATATTTCTCCCTATTTTGGGGGAGCTTTAGGGTCCCTAATAATATATCAATCATAAAATTTGACACCCTTCAAGGCAACACGGGTAGTAAAATGCCAAGTTATTCTATAATAAGTTGTATTAGTACAACAAGGATTAACAAATAAATAAACAACAAATAAACAATGTAAACATTTCACAAAACAATA